GTTGTTCCCCGTTGTGGGGCTGCATGATCCGGTTTGCTTTGAGACAAATTTTGGCAGGGAGGGGGATAAGCCGTTTACGTGGCCGCAGCCTGCGCCTGCGGTGGGAGAGAAGGTGATGAAGGGGGATGGGGGTGCGGAGGGCAAAGATGCGGCGGTTGTGAAGGTTGTTGTGCGTGGTGATCATGGAATGGGAGCGGAAGGCGAGGCGGGGAAGATGGAGGTGCGGGTGGCGAGTGAGGAGGTGGTGGTTGTTGACGTTGCGGCGTAGAATCATGTAGGGGGCGGTACTAGTGGTTGCACTGATAGGTGATTGGTACAAGTATACATCTGGAAACGATAATGACGAGATGGAATGTAAGGTATGGTGACATCCTGAACTTCATTGTAACATTTCCATTTCCAACATACCGCTTTCCTTTCTTAAGTAGTTTCATTTGTTTTCCAATTCTCCTTTCTTAGGTTCTTTCTTTTGGAAAGCAGTATGACTGATAGTTACCTGTCATCCTGTAGTAGGGTAGACGAACGAGTGCAATCGAGGAAACCTAAGTATTGATTATTCGAGCCCTTGCCAGCTTATGTAGGTAAGTAGTAAGGGAGAGCGGATGGGGTCCTATGTTCTCGTACGAGTCTCTTGCTTAGGCGCAACGTATGCGGAACATGAAAGCTCAAGAGCTCGGAAAAGGGGATGGAACGAGAATGAAATGTCAGGAACAGGGACTGAGGTGCACAATGCAACTAGAAAAAGTTTGTACTAGACGCTCCCATCGCCCTGTGCGGCGGGGAAGAGATGGAGCGTATTACTACCTTAGGTCCGATGTAAATGATAACTACTGTTGTGTACTATCTGTCAGCTTTTACTGAGCTGATTATCCGTGCTTTCCTCCCGCTATGGTTGTGTAAGTGTAGGTACATACCAGGCGAACCAGGGATCAAAGGTGGTAATGCACAGCGTCCTGGCAAGGGAGCCCGGTCTATCTCCCCCAAGATTCCACCAGCAAGTCATACACGGCCTCGCCATGGGCTTCCGGCATGCACCCCGGCCCCGGCATCTGTTTGCTGACCCGTTCCGCCTTTTCCAACCACACAGCCGCCTCAGACTCGCCGCCGCCCTGAAGAAGGAGGGCGACCGATAGCATGCACGAAGCCCGTGCCACTTCGCAGTCGGCTACCTTCTAAAACTCCATCATGGTGATGGCCTCGCGGAAGCGATTTCTAACTAGTAGATGATGGCATGGAGAGTTAGTCAAGGTCAGGTTAGGGAGAGACACGCAGCAAGAATCCGCGTGGCGGCAACTCACATGGCCTAGTCGAGTGCTTCCTTGGCTATCCTACCGTAATAGTCGTGCAGGGCAATCAGCCCCAGCTTATACAGGCAGACGGCCATGTCAGCCGAGATAGCCTCCGCGATAGCCATTAACCGCTCTCGCCCCTTAGTGTACATGGCCTTCGCCGCGTCCAGGTTCCCTGGGCCATGCACATGTTGCCTGTTGACCGACCTCCCAACCCTCTCTCTATGGCTCACTGTATGCCGGAAACTAGATCCTGGCTGCGGTTGCCCAATGCTAACTGTGGTTATCCCAAATCTCCAGTCGCACGCGACAACTGTGTCACTTCTCGTTCGGTTTCTTCCTCCATTTCTGCTGCGGAACTGAGACGCGTCTCCTGGACGTAAGGCAGTACCCTCTCCTGCGCCGCAAGCGATTCAGAAGAGCACTGATACAATCGGCAGCCTATCTCGCCATCAGAGCCTGCGTCCCGCGTCTTTTGACTTTAGTATTCCCTTGGCGCACTATGGGCACCATACCGCGGGATTTGCCCGCCGCTGCACATCCACCGCGCCTTTCGACAGAGCAAATGCTCACTCTCAACGCCCAGGATGTCCGACAGCTTTTCGACGACAAAACTCTCACCATCCCAGCTACTGCCCCAGCGCTTGGTGCATATTGACAAGGAAAATGGCAATGGACTGAAGCTGAGAGCGATTATTGCCCTCGCCCCTGAACCTTTGCTCCGGGCCCGAGCTGAGGAATTGGAACAGGACCTGCGATCCGGCCGAGGTCGCGGGCCTTTGCACGGGATCCCGATCGTTCTCAACGTAGTCATTTATCAGATTGCTTCAACTCGTCACTGCTGTTGCTGATGCTCCAATCTAGGACTGCGTTGCCACGGGCCCAGAGCTCGGAATGCCCACGACCGCAGGGAGCTTTGCTCTCTTCAACGCCACCAAGGTTACGAAAAGTGCACCGATAGTTGAGAGGGTAGAAATGGAAAGCCGGTTTTTTCTACTGGACAATGCTAATCCCGATAGCTTCCCAGCGCCGGTGTTATCATTGTTGGCAAGAGTAATCTCAGTGTAAGCCGAGCCTCCTCCATTCCTGGATCTCAGCCAGAATGACTGAGCCTAACGACTTGCAGGAATTTTGCGCGTGCAAGCTCGCTCCCACTCTGCTGTTTTACCGAACTACTCTGACGCTGACCCCCCAGGGGCGACGGACTCATCGACGGCTTCTCTCCTGTCGGCGGCCAAACCAAGTCGCCTTACATTTATGGCGACATCATACTTGACGAGGGGGACCTCTCACCATCCGTAAGAGACCGTAATTGTCAAAAGACTTGAGCGAGGTTTGAGGTTTGGTGGTACTAATATACCCTAGAGCCCTGGTGGCTTATCAACAGGTGGTGCTATGAGTGTCTCTGCTGGCTTTTCGCTCATCGGCATCGGAACCGAGAACGATGGCTCCATTATGCAGCCAGCATCCAAGCAGGCCCTGTACGTCCTGAAGCTAACCCTCGGGCTAGTGACAGCCGGAGGTTGCTGGCGTGTCTCAAAAAGCCTCGATACTACACCGGGTACCGTTGCGAGATCCGTCAATAACCTGGCTGCCGCGACTGAGGCTCTTCTGGATCCTTGTTCTCGCGCAAAACTTCCACCTAATGGGTACCGTCATTCTTCACCACCTCCTTCAACGGCCTGAAGCTGGGATTTCTTGATCCTAGCGTCTGGCGGTTCCCGCCAGATTTATGGGTCCCGAGTGATAAAGCCAAGGAGCAGTATATAAGTAACGAACCCCACGAGCCGGCCTAATCCTTTAACATCTACACAGGATATAGCCTACTATAAAGCACGGGGAAAGATGCAGTCCCTCGGCGCCGCGGTGATCTACCCGGTGGGTTTGCCACGACTAAGAGAGTTTGTCGTGGGGACCACTATACTCCGTTCATCGTGAACTGTATGTCTCTATTTCTTGCTCTTCCGGTCCCTGCGGATTGCTGCCAATAGTCAATCACTCCAGACATAATAGCCTACGAGCATCAAGAAACGGCAAACGAATTCTTCCCCGAGTTCATCGAACCAAGGCCCCAAGTCCACGACCTGGCAAGCGCGTCGTCGAGTTCAACAAGCAGCACTCCGAGAAGTGCATGCCAAAGGGTAACTAAGCACTAACTGGCCTTTACTATCGGTCGTTAAGTTCTGACGTTGCACACAGATGCCGGACCAGTCGTGGCTTGTCAAGGCTGTTGAAAACGGACCGTCTGAAGAGCGGTACCGCGATACGTTCCCGCACGTGCTCAAAGTTCGCAGGGATCGAGGCCTTCGCAAAGTCTTAGGCGAGTTCCACCTTGATGTTGTGATAGCGCCCATGGATAGCCCGGTGTGTTCCTTGAGCACAGCCTTTGGTGAGTTCTGTAACCCCTTGTCGAATTCCAACCTGTTACAACTCCAGAAGGCATCGGCATCCTAATACTCATTAGGACATCGCATTGCAAATGTCCCCCTTGGGCGATACCGCCTGGAAGGCGAGCTCAGTCGTCCATTTGGGCTCGCCGCTTTGGCTCGACCAGAAGCTGAGGGGACGCTGCTCAGGTTCATGAGCGCTCTTGAAGCGAACTCCCCTGCCCAGGTAATACCGGAACAGCTCCTTGGCGCAACTCAGAACTAGTCAGGTAGATTTGGAGAACGGTGATTTGCCAACGCGACCATTAGATTCCGCTCCTGCGACATCCAAAAGCACGAGACGCGTGCCACGGGTTTGTCGATCTGTACAGGCTGTTATGACGCGTAGGTTATGTCACCCCAGCTCTAACTCACGACTCGTGACAGACCATTGTCCGGAGCCTTGCGGCGGATGCATTAGAGCTGCCATCGACCGTGGTGGTAGCCGAGACACGGAGCGAACGGCTGCCGATCATGTGCAATGGCCCATCGATCCTATGGACATATATACATATATACACACTCTGCACTGCGCTCGGGTGACCCCGAAGGTAGGATTGGAGTTTCGTCAGGTGCTGCCTCTATCAGTATTACTCGCCACCGGCTGTCGTATTAAGCTATTTTTCCTTGATCAGATTCCGTCTCAGGTGTGTAGGAGGTCACTCTTCTGGCCTCAACAGCAGCAGTAAAGGAGGAAACAAGGACTGTTATAGGCATCCAAAGTCTTCCTATCCTCACCAGTTCGCCGGTTCGAGCAGGGATCGAGGGGCGTGTGGCGTTCGATATAAGGGTAGCCTTGAAACCGTGATTCCGTTGATAACCGTCTAAGTGGACTCATCGAACGGCTCTTAAAGAGCCCTATTAGGGGGCGACCGGCTTTGGTAATTCTCAGCGGGATAGTTCCTTCCGTTGGCGGTGCAGTTGATTCCACTCTTGGCGGCAAAATATTCGGTTCAGGCCTTCCGAAGTACCTATTGGGCAGCGTCTCTGATTTTCCCCTTGGGCACGACGAAGTCGACCACAATTGTGACGCTATTGGATCCAAGTAAGCAGGCAGGCGGCACCACGCACGATGGCCATGCCTTAGCCCCATGTATTCGCCAAGCTCATGACCCTCAAAAGGTCGGAATAATTATGTGGAGGATACTTATGGAAAAGCCAATGCCGCGATGTGTGCTCTCCAGCAGAGTCCTGTGTTTTACAATGACTGCTGATTTGCGAGCACCAGGTCGGTGCATTATGAAAAGGAGAAACACAGCGACGGGGTGTCGAGAAGGGCAAAAGTCGATCCACCCAGGGGTCGAACCTGGAACCTCCTGATCACACATCGTAGTCAGACGCTCTGCCATTGAGCCAGCGGACCTTTTTCTATAACGTTGAGCCTTCTATCTCAAATTCTTTGCCTATGAATCGGAAACCTGAACAGAAAGTTGTCCTGGTGGTAGTTGAAGACGGTTCAACACACTGAGGGAAAGAATCAGAGATTAAGGCTATTGAGAAATCCGATCCCAGGTGCTCACAACGAGATATCTTGGGCAATCAATGGAAACCGATTGGCCAAGCCACTGCAATCATAGAGTGAGATAACAAGGCCGTGTCACCCGTTAACTACCGCATGTGACCTCCGTGTTTAGGTTTCTGCGCAAGGTCTAGGCCCCCTGTCTAGTACTAATCAGTACCATAGCAGCATGTACAGTTGAACGGTTGCATCCTGACTCACGGAGCTCCAGCATAGCCCATTGGTTCAGTCATTAAGGTTGGCAACGGTCTTGCCTCTGTGAGGGAGTCCAGGCATTGGTTCTACTTTCTCAGCAGAAGTTTTTCAAACCGAATGGCACTGCCCTGATTAGTCGTCACTACAGGGATCATGAAACATCCATGTTATCATACTAAGGAAAGCAGCATAGATCCAAGAAGTACCGTCAGTGGTGTTTCGTAAAGTAATCGCAAACGCCACTCACGTGTGACCTGAGAAACGATAACCTGTGTTCCCCAATAGGCGGTCCCGGGAGCAGAGCCTTTCTGCCCATTGTCGGGAACTCCGGCCTAAATTCGCGAAGTCAATCCCTCTCGGCAGTTCCAGCATGCATGAAAACCCAACCCCTCAACCATTTCAACCACTCACAACGCTCCCGATTCAGGTTACCTGGATTTGCTGCGGCATCCAACTTCTTGCTATGTAGAACGTCAGCATGGATCCCCAGTGGTACAGAAAGATGTTATCAACGCGATGGCGGAGATCATCGCCCTTGTCTCATCCATCCCTCAGGTGGCATCGTTCGGACGAAGCCTCTCACGGACGCTGCACGACTACGGGGCAGCGGTGGTGGGCGCTGAGAAGCGGTTAAACGGCCTTGACAAGAACATTGAGTTCACCTCGTGCATCATCTCGCAACTGGGGTCCCATTTTCAAGACAGACAAGTTCAAGCCCTGGTGTCGGAAGGGACCATACGACTCGCCCAGGATGCAGTGGCTGAATGCGAGGCCATATTCCAGGGCATGGAGGATCTCATTGCCAAGATCCGCAGCAGTGGCAGCATGGCAAAGCTCACCATTTATTTCAAGGACCCCAAGACTGAGCTGCTGTGGTCGAACCTTGAGCGGATGAAGGGAAACCCGAACCTACTGATGGGTGTAATCATCCACGGCACTCAGATCGTAACCGGGTGGTCCCGAATTTGCATATTGTCTTCACCTCCATGCAGCCATGCTCTGACAAAGGTAGGCCTCAGAATGAATCTTCCATCTTGGCTCACCAAATCGGTCCGAATCCGGGAGCTCATGGGAGAAAAGGAACAGTACACGCAAAAGAATACCTCAGAGTGAAGAGAGACGATATGACGAGCTGCGCGTAAAGGTCAACTCGACTGGCACAGTCGGGAGCGTCCTCACAAGCTCCGCAGATAATGAACAAAGCTTGCAAGAAACGGCATCTCTAGCCCAGGAGCACGCAGGGAACCAACGATGAAGGTGCCACGGCAGTAAAGAACCGGAGACATGCTGAATGTGCAGAAAGGGTGACACCAAATCCAAGGAGTTTTTACACCTTTTTTTGCAGGCCTGATTGGGGTTATACTGTTGACACGGCTCGCTGTTTCGTGTTCGACTCGTTCAAGACCGGAACACCCCAAGGCCCAGACTCTCCATTGCTTGCTCAAAGCTTTACTGATAGATAGTATATAGACGTTGGAGTCAGCGTCATTCTCCTTATTCATTCGCTTCTCTCCTTGACCGGGATACACCAGGCTGCGTATGATTTTTAAGGACTTGGATTGTCGCAGTATTATAGAACGTTTGTTACTACTAGTAGCTGGTGTTCGGCCTTTGACCTTTCTTGTCTTTCCACCTTCTCCTCTGCTTTCCTTATTGGGTTACACTATTATATCCCTGCCACCCTATATTTCTTCATACAAGGGACTTTCCATCCTCTTATAAATCTGATGATCTGGATCAAGGTCCCTCCTTAGCACTTACTATAGCGCGCGACCGGGTCCAGAGAAAATTGTCAGAGGCTATATCTTCTTGATAGAGAAGAGTCCCCTAAGGCTAAAATATCGCCATTTTAAAACTGTAACAGGGCGATTTTAGACCTTTCTCTCTCCGTAGGAGGTTAGTTACACACAAGGAAAGTAGTCCTCTCCTCCCAAAAAGTACTCAGTAAGGTAGTCTCTTCTTGAAAAGTATAATCTCAAGAACATAACTAGTTAGTCTTCTTTTAACTAGTGGGACTACACTAGTGACTGTTTTGCCAGAACCTGGTGGCGCACTCTGAGAACTATGTAGTAACCTAACCTAGGTATCTTATGTAAGCAGCCACTCCCTGTGTTCCGAGCCGGCGGTCCCTGTTCGATCTCCTTCGCGCTCCGCTCAAAACCCGCTGGGTTCACGGCCGGATCGCGGGGTTTGGTAGGGTAAATCGTGCGCCTCACTGGTGCTGTCCGTTTGAACCTTTATATACATAGTAAGCAAAAGAAACTGGATTCGGCTTTCAGACTGTTTGGTCATTGAGTCATGGCCGCCAACCGCGCTTTGCCTTTCTCGCTCCTGTCTCCCTGGTGTCGGTGCAACTTACCGACTCCTGGTAACGTCCCCGCCCGTCGCCCTCTTCTTTCTCAGTGGGATATGCGACCGGCCCAGTTTAGAGCCGCAATGTCCGGATCCGCAGGTAGCGAAAGAGGACAGAGTGACTGGTCGCCGGACCAGTATCTCCTCTTCGCCAATGCCCGCAACCGCCCGATCCACGACCTCATCACCTTCCTTGGCCGGGATTATTCGCCCAGCTCCATCATCGACCTCGGGTGCGGGCCTGGAAACAGCACCGAACTCCTCGCCAAACGGTTTCCCAATGCGAACATCTCCGGCGTCGACTCCTCGCCTGCGATGCTGGCCAAGGCGCGCAAAACGCTTCCTAGCATCGATTTCACGCAAGCCGACCTGCGCACCTACAAGCCACCACCGGGCGCGGACCTCCTCTTTGCCAACGCAGTCTTTCAGTGGCTGCGTCACGATGAACGCATCTCTACCATCACGCGCCTCGTCCGTAGTCTGAAGCCAGGCGGAATCCTCGCACTGCAAATGCCGGACAATTACCACGAGGGATCGCATCGGGCGATGCGCGACATGACCGAAACAAGTTCGCTGGCACCCCATTTCGAACACCTGTCGAGAGAGCAAAGGCCCTGGCTCGACGAGATCGAGCCGCCGCTCGCGTACTACAACGCTCTCATCCCGCACTGTCGCGCTGTCGAGACATGGACGACACGTTATGTGCATGCGCTGGACGATTACAGGGATATTGTGGAGTGGGTGAAGGGGACCGGGCTGCAGCCCTATCTGAATGCGCTGCCGGCGCATGAGAGGGTAAGGGCGACGTTCCTGGAAGAATATGAGTCCCGGCTGAGGCAGGAGTATCCGCGGGCGCGAGACGGGAAGGTCTTGTTGGCGTACCCGAGGCGTTTTGTGGTTGCGTACTCGGCGGGATTCTGAGGCTTTGAACCGACCGGATTCACCGGAACCCCCATCTATGTCGGTGAATGGAGGTTTGTTATATGAAGGTACAACCTCTGGTGGTTATTGCCATTCTTACTTAGTGAGCCTGGGCTCTATTTCTACCACAGTACGGCCCCGGTCAGCCCTCCCACTCTTGAGAAAATCAACCAACTTTCATCTCCAATTTTCAGGTTGCAGTCAATGCAGTGAGCTGAAGTATGATTAGGCGAATTAAGTGGGGTCAGACCACCGACGAAGCAAGTGCTAATGCATGCAACCTCGAGCACCGCCACAATTGAGGACGGCTGCTTGATCCTGCCGTCCTCACTCCAGTCAACGAATGAAATCTGCCCATGGTGCTTTAAGCCTCCTCATGCCGCCCCGTCATCTGCGGAACGATCAACCTCCTGTGGCACCCTTGTGTCCTGAGGCGCCTTTTAAATCTGGTTGACTCACCCCCGCGACATTGGTCCCCACCACCCTCTTCTCTCTCCTCAACCACCATCGCACTGTGTACCTGGTAGTTTGTTGACCACCAAACCATTGCGACACATATCCTGACTTTTTTGTTTATTCTTCTTTGAATTATCCTAAATCGAGCCACTGTATCGAAAATTCGAAACGCATCGCTTGACCTGCGTGCTAGCGCCCCGAGGCCTCCGCGTGCCGAGCATCAATGCCCTATCCAGTACGGAAACTTGTGACTGATACCAACAGCACCCCCGCTTCTTATTCTGACTCTTGCTGTAGAATCTCGACAATGGATACATGGTCAATCCAGAATCTGCCTCCGGGGCCCCGCGGAGAAACAGCGACGTACTCCGGGATGTGCCCGCTATCGACAATGACCCGGTCGTCGTCGTCATCGGAGCCAGTTCCATTGGCAACGCCTACCGACTTCCCGAGATTCCCGAGATGAGCAGGCTTTGGGCATCTATCATCACTGACCATAGAGCCCTTGAATTCCCAGCGAAACTGGATGCGCCGCGCAGCCAGCTACTCTTCCTGGAGTCCCTCCAGGTTTTGGTGTCCTCTCTCAACCACGCCTCACCAGATGGCTGGAGCTCGGAGGCACTCGCCGAGGCGGAAAGCTATGCAGGACTGGGTCACGTGGGTGCTGTGAAGCGCGGGTCGATCGCTGCTGAAGTCAAAGGCGAGGAAGAGTGCTCGAGCCACAAAACGGGGTTATTTATTATGCTGGGCAATGCATCTACCTGCGGGCAAAACATGCCATGGACGAGCAGCGACAACCCTCGATCGCTTTACCTGAGTCCATTCTCAGATGTCAGACTCCAGGTACCTCGCCTGGCAGACCACCTCAAGCAACTGCAAGAAACGGCATTTCATCACCGAGACGCAGCCAAATTAGGCCA